ACACCACCACCACCACCACCACCACCACCACCACCACCACCACCACCACCACCACCACCAGGCTACACATTTTACTTCTGATTTTTTATTGTTGCACAGAAATGTCTGACCTGCCCAAGTATTTTGTGCCCAAGTAGGGCTGCAGCCCATGGTTGAAGAGGCAGGAGAGAAGGGTGGCTGGGAACTCAGGTGGGTTAGGTGACCCTCCCACTCTGGTATCCCTCCCCTACATGGAAAGTTAACAGGCCCAGTCCCTCAAGGGTCTCCTTTGGGTGATGACAGCTGCTCTGATCCAAGGCCCAAGAGGACAGAGTTCCACCACCCACTCCCAGCTCCTAGTTAATAGGACATGCGTCACAGTGAGGAAATGGCCAGCCAGAACCAGCTGGATTGAATCCAGGCTGCCCTCAGCTGCCCAGAGGTCCAAGTGTTCACAACATCCTGAGCCTGTGAGAACAGCCACAGTTCCTTCCTGAGAAGGCCATTCAGGTCCATCAGCCACTAGAGGGCAGTCCCTACATCCACGAGCTTTGAGCACATCGGCTCACTGCCCTCCCACCTGGAGCAAATTGCCCCATGGCAGAAGAGAGGATGTATACTGGGGCAGCCCCTGGAGCTGCAAACCATGTCAGCTCACATGAGTGAAGCAGAGCTGAGCTGCCCCTGGGTCTTGAGAAAGTGTTAAGATGGAGCTGGGCGGTGGTGAAAAACACCTTTAATTCCAGGACTCCGGAGGCAGAGGCAGGCAGACATCTGTGAGTCTGAGGTCAGCCTGGTCTACATAGTGAGTTCCAAGACAGCAAGGGCTACATGGAAAAAAGAAAAGAAAAGTGATAGGTTTGTCTCAGATCCCTAGCACTTGGGCACAGTGGCAGAATACTACATTCATGTGGGGAGGAGGCAGCTAGCCTCTTCATAGGTCATGGGTCATGGGTCATGGGTCTTAGAGAATCTGGCTATTTGTGGCCAACCTCACCTACAAAGCAGTGTCCCCAACCTTGTCCTGTATCCTTCAGGCATTTCTGTCACTTGAGGTTTAATTACTTTAAAGCAGTGCCTGGGGCTAGAATCAAAGTGGTGGACATCAGAGCACAATGGAAGAGACTCATTCACGTCCCTTCACCACCAACCACCAGACTCTTGGTGCCTGAAGGGACTCAAGCATCTTACATGCACTCCTGTTGGCTCTTGCCACTCCTGGTGGCATCTAGCCCTGCCTTTCCCCACCTGAGGAAGCCTTGTGTTGTCTGCAGCCATGTCAGGGGCTACAGGGATGCTGCTGAAAGAGACACTGCTAGAGTTGGCATGTCGTCCTAACAGACATGTGCAGCAGGATTACCAACCTGAGCATTCCAAAGCCTTGGGTGAGCACACTGAGAAACAAAGAGATCAAGAACCTTAGCCCTGGGTCTCCTGGTAGCCAAGTTGAAAAAGGAAATGTGGTAGGTTCCTCACTGTCAGTGAGAACTGGCTTTAAGAACTTGGGAGAGAGGTTCCCCAGAAATCATCTGGGAGAGGCCATTTTCCACCAAGTGTTTTTGCCCCAGGTGACCATGGAGTGCCATTCTTCACAGCAGAAGAGGCAGAAGAAGGGGACAGAAATGTCACCTGTGGTCAAGCGCAGGCATCCCCTGGGATCCCCTTGGTTCTAGGAAAATGTGGAGCATCCCAAACTGGGGCTGACAGACTCTGCCTAGGAAGAGAGACAGGGGGTACACTGTGGAAGGGCTATAGACCATGCATTTGGGTATAGGGACCCCCGTGGCCTGGTGCGGAGCCTGTGTATAGCCAATGGTAGGGTCTGGTGGGGAAGGAGAACAATGAAAGGACTAAGGTCTAGTCTGTGCTTTGGGAATTTGACTGCCTTGGGGACCAGAGTGAAGAACAGTCTGTAGTGTTTGGGTGTAAGAACCCAGAAGGTGGGTTAGGGCTCCTGGAAACACCATATCAGGCCAAGGTAGGACTGCTAGGCTGGGCAGGGGGCATATCTGGCCCCCATGGTGCCCAGATGAAAGGCCAGCTTCTAGCCTCCAGTGGTCAGAGGTGGGCAGCCTGGCCCCACTGTACACTGGACTCAGCTGGTGGTCCAGAGGGACAGAGTAGGCACTGTCTACCCATCATGCATTGCTAGGGGTGCTTTAGCTACACCATTGCCTGCAGTGCACCCTGAGGGAGAGGTAGGCTAGGCTCTGGTAATTTTCCAGTTTGTGAGCACCCTAGGATCTAGGCACCACACGCAGGGTCTGGGCAGGTGGCCTCATGGTGAAGGCTGGGGCAGGCCGCAGATCCAGGTCTGCGGGGCTGAGGCCCGGTGGGGGCAGCAGATGGTACCGCTGGAGGAGGCCTGCAAACAGCAGGAAGAGCTCTGTCCTGGCCAAGCTCTTTCCAACGCAGACCCGGCGGCCTGTAAGAGAAACCAAGGCACTATGTGGGGTGCCAGGCCTGCTCCTGGAGGGAAGAGGGGCAAGCAAGGGCTGGTGAAGGCACTCCCTGAAGGCTGAGGGCCAGCAAATTACCAGTGGAGAAAGGCAGGAAGGCACCCCGCTTCACGAAATGCCCGTCGGCATCCAGGAAGTGGTGTGGGTTGAACTGGCTTGGGGTCTCCCATTGCGTCTTGTCCAGGAGTACCGAGGTCAGCAGAGGGATCACAGGGGTGCCCTGTAGGGTAGAGGGATCCCAGGGTAGGCTGGTCTGCTTGGAGGGAGGGAAAGTGGCCGAGCTCCATCCGGGGGAGTTCCCGCCTCCCACCTACACCACATGGTGTTAACCTTGCTCACAGAGGAAAGTGGGACCCAGGAAGTCCCCTGCCCACCCCATCAGAGGGAAAGAGTAAGTAAGACACTACCTTAGGAAGCAGGTAGCCACCCAGCTGGACGTCAGCAGCTGTGCAGCGGGGCACGTGAGGCAGGAGTGTGATGTACCTCTGGGTCTCATGCAGCACCGCACTGGTGTAGGGCAGTGCCCGCTGGTCCTCTGGCTGGGGTAGCTGCCCGGGGCCCAGTACTCGGTCCAGCTCCTCCTGCACGCGACCTAGGCCAGAGGGTGACACTGCATGTGTGGAGCCCCAGCCCTCAACCCTAAGTGTTCCAACCCCTTACCATGGGGTGACTCTCACCCTGCACGTGGGGGTGCTTAACCATCAGGAAGATTGCCCACTGCAGCGTGGCTGCCGTGGCCTCTGTTCCAGCCATGACCATGTCCAGTGTGCAGGCCAAGACATTGGCCTCACCAAACATGTCCTCAGGGTCATCCTCCTGCAGAGCAGATGGTTAGAACTGGGCTTGAAACTCTGGGAACCCTACCCCAACCTGTGGACCTACCCCAGTCCTAGGCCCCAGAGGAGGATGGGTAGAAGAAGTCAGGTGTGTGTTGGGGTGGAGGTCAGAGCTGGCATTTACTGAGGCTCCAACCAAACCCACTGCCCATTCCAGGTACTTTGAGAGGCTAATCCCACAGAGGAGGAGACTGAGAC